CTCTGCTGTCTTCTACACTTTTTTCTTGATGGAACTGTTCGTAGTTGTGTTTCGAGAATCTTCTTTTTCAAGATTTCCCACCTCTCTTGGACACCTTTCCCCTCAAGGGTGTGTTGCCATGGCACTTTGCTTATCATTTTGTTAAGGTTGGCTTTCTTGAAGTCCAGGATGCATGTTTGGCTCCAGTTACCCTTTGTCTCCTTTATAATTCAGAATTCAAGTATTGCATAGTCACTTTTCCCCAGAATTCCCATGGTTGTTATTTTGTCCACCAGGCCATCCCTGTTAGTTAGTATTAAATTGAGGATAGCTGATCCTTTTGTACCCTCCTCTACTTTCTGCTGGAGAAAGTTGTCAGCAATACATGCCAGGAATCTCTTGGAGGGGGCATGGTTGGCAGAAATTGTCTCCCAGCATATATCAGGGAAATTGAAGTCCCCCATATTGACTACATCATTCTTCTTGGAAATGCCAGCAAGTTGCTTTTCAAAGGTTGCATCCTTGTCCTCTTTTTGACTGGATAGACAGTAATACATGCCAATAACTATGTTTTTCTTATTTTTTGCTCCCTTTAAATTTAGCCAGATTCTTTCAATGAGGCTACTAAGTTCTTCTTGCATTTCTGTGCAGATATATGTATCTCTTACATATAGTGTAATTCCACCTCCCTTTTTGTCCTTTCCATTTTTCTTGAACAGGTTGTATCCATCAGTTGTAGAGGTCGAGTCATATGAGTCATCCCACCAAGTTTCCATTATTCCTATAAGATCATAATTGCCCTCATGTACTATCGGCTCAAGTTTGTGTTGTTTGTTTCCCATACTCTGGGCAATGGTGTAGAGACATCGAAGTTCGTTCTTACTGTGCCCTAGTTTTCTTTCTACATTTTTGGGGGGACTGGTGTTGAGTCCCGCTTGAGGTTTTTTCTCTGTTGAAATGTATAAGTCCTTGCCAGGTGATGGTATGCCATGCTACACATCTCCCTCCCCTAAAGGTTTTAGTTTAAAGCTCTCCTGATGAAGTTTTTCAGGCAGTGGCCAAACACCTGCTTCCCGTTGCTTGTGAGGTACAGCCCATCATTTGCCAGTAGTCCATCTTCCAGGAAGCTTAGCTTGTGGTCCCAGAATCCAAATCTCTCTTTACGGTACCACCATCATAGCCACTCATTCACTTGAAGGATTTTTCTTTCTCTAACAGTTCCTCTTCCACGTACTGGTGGGATTGAGGAGAAGACTATCTGGGCCCCGGTGTTTTTATTTTCCTCCCTAGAGCTTCAAAGTCTGCTGTTATTTCAGCAAAACTTCTCATGGCAGTGTCATTAGTTCCCACATGGAAGAGAAGGAAGGGGTATTTGTCAGTGGGTCGTATGAGTTGTGTGAACTTGCTGTTTATATCTTTAATCTTGGCGCCAGGGAGACAGCATCCTTGGTGATTCTCTGGGTCATCACGATGTACATATTTTTCCATTCTGCGCAAGAGGGAATCTCCCACTACTAGCATTCTTCTCCTTCTGTTGAAAATTTTGCCATCCCTTTCCTTGCTTGAGTGGCCTTTTGTCTCTGAAAAAGAGTTATCCAGTGTATCGTGTAGTTCTTTCACAGTGAGTTTCTCACACGTCTCTTCTTCAAGTAACTTGAAGCGGTTCTAGATTTCCACTGCTTCTGCAGGTGCAGAGTGTTTTCTAGGTCGACTGCGTCTGTCACCCTGTTCCAGCGCATTTTCTCGTTGTCCCTTCTCTCAGGGTTCTCTTCTGGTGCCTCGGCTTGCTGTTGCTCTTCCTTCTGGACTACACTTACCTGTTGCAGCTCCTCCGCTCTGTCTAGAAACGTCATTTTCTTTTATTGTCTGGAGGGCGGACACTCGCTGCTCCAGTGCCCTCACTTTTTCCTGTAATAGGGGTACTGGTGTGCAACAGTTGCAGTTGTTGCAGGCTGCCAGTATGGAGTCTTCTTGGTGCATCGCTTGTGCCACTGCATGCAGTGGGGGAATTAAGGTGAAATAAGGGGAAAAAATGTTAGTGCCCCCCCCCCCCGACCTCTCCCGCCAAACTCCTGTTTGCTCTCCCTGGTCGCTCGCTCCCTGAGACCTTGGCTGCTTGTATCTCAGAGGCCCTAAACCAGCCGGGGAAGCTTGCTCTGACGTGCTCTGCTCTGCTTGGAGTCAGGAAGCAGAATGAACTAGAACTTGCAGCCCACTGTTGACTGCGTGGAAGCAGCATGGAGAAGCGTGAAGCAGAATATATGTTTTCCTTCTCTTCTTTCCCAGAATCTCCATGTGGAATGATGCAGCATGTTATAGTTTCATTCAGCTTTGGAAATGAGTATGCTCTTCATTCAGACATGTGGCATTCCAGGCAAACCAGGGGTTAATTACATAGACACCTCACCTCCAGACTGCAGTTCTCAGGGTCCTCTTGGGAAAGAGGACAACCTCTGGAGCCTGCTGCCGACAGCCACTTCTAAGGGAGGCTCAGTTGGAGACAACAAGGAGAAGGGTCTTTTCAGTGGTAGCTCCCCAGTTGGGGAGTGAACTCCGCATGGAAGCCCACCTGGCACCAACCAGCACCAGGCCGAGACTTTCCTCTTACCTCAGGGCATTTAGTTAATTGGGCTTTTGTTATTTTTTTAATCTGGGTCAATCTGGTTTTATCTTGTTTATATTATTGGAATTTTATATTTAAATATGGTTTGAAATGGGTTTGAAATGTGGTTTATTTTTAGGTATGGTATTTTTTTTCCTTAATGCCTTTATTTTGTGGTCCATTTAGGTGATGTTTTAATAGATTATTGTAAACTGCCTCTAATTAGATTATATAAAATACATATAATACAATGTCAAACACCCCCCATATATAGGCAAATATTACAGCAAGAACAACTGTACAACCGAGCATAATTGCCATTATTGTCATAGCCAATTACAGGTCAAGGAAGGCCTGAGCCGCCTGATACTTCTTAAGGAGTAGTGCAGAGTAGTAGGAACATTTTCCAGAATGGAGGTGGGCAACCTCCAGAGTGGGGTCTCCCTGTGCATGGCCCCCAGGCGCCCACTGGCCTTCATGCTGCTGCTGACAGAGCAAAGGAAGAGCAGGCCAGCAGGCAGGCACCCATGCAGTCCAGCAGCGCTCACGGAGGCTGGGGTGGCACCGATCTTCCGGGATGATGCTCCACAAGGCCCTCTCTGGGGCTCTGACTGCTCAGTGCTGCCACTGCCAGAGAAGGGGACAGGCCAGCAGGGGGATCCCAGGGCTGCTCCCAAAGCCTCCTCACCTAGCTGTGCGGAGGGGTGGACAGTCAGGGGCGGAGGGAAGCACAAGGAGAGGCGGTGAGAAGATGAAAGAAAGGAGGAAATGGCACGGCAGAAGGGGAGAAGGCATGCTTCCATCTGTGGTGGCATCTTTGGATTTGGTTCTTCCGAGCACCTGGCGCCCATCGCTCGGCCAACTGTGGCCACTTGCCTATGAGAGGAGGTGGCTTTTGCTTTCAGAAAGGCTGCCCTGCCCTGCCCTGACCTTGAGGGAGGCGAGAAGAAGCCAGGCTTTAGACCAGGAGACACGAGGATGCAACGATCCCAACTCTGGGGCAAAAGCTCTGAGCGGGGCGCTGGCAACACTGTAGGGTTTCCCCTTGACCAGCAGCAGTGCGGTGCTAAATTACTGCTGCGGTGATCACCGCGCTGCCCTGCTGTTTCCAGTCAATGCAGCACATTGGAGAATGCGATGCAGCTGACGATGCTCTGTGTGGACAAACAGGAGCCGGGTTCCTTTTTGAGAAAAGAGAGAATGCCCATCTTGCCTTACTTATTGCAATGGATTACAGAATGGCTGGACGCTTCTTCTCAGGCTGCAGATGGTGGAAAGTGAGACAGCAGTAGTTTGTTTTTCACTGAGAGGCAGACATTTAAAAGGTGCTGTTTGAAAAAGCTGTATAAAGCAGTCAAAGAAAAGGGGGGCTTCCAAATGGAAGGCATTATGTAGCGATGGGATTTTTTTTGTGGAAAGGAAAAGGAAAGGCAACAAGTTGAAGACAACATCAGCTGGAGCTCCTGTAAAATATTGTGGACAAGGCAAGGCAGCTGCACCATCCAAGTTTCAACTGGGAGCCTAATGGATGCGCCCTGGATGCATTCAGCTTATCACAGAAAATAGACTCCAGTGCTCTGAAGATGGTTGATCACACAAGGTGCCCTCCAGGAGCCTTTGAGATCGGGAGGGGCACTTCGATTCCCTCCAGTCCTCCCTTGCATGAGCTGCTACCACCTGCTCTGTTGGTGTCAGGCCTCTGATGAAGAACTAGGCTGCTGGCTATGAAAGCAGGAAACCAGCTGGGTTCCCTAGAATGCCACACAAAGAAGCTTGTAGTGCTTCTGCTGCTGCAAGGCAGGTCTGTGGGCCGAATCCAGCCCCCTGGGTTCCCTAGAATGCCACACATCCCTTTCCTTAAGCCACCAAATTTTCAGTGATTTTGTGCAATTTCTTCCATTCCAAAAGGTTGAAATGCCTCTCCTAAGGCTTTGTTACTGGCTGTAAGACCTTCAAGTTAAAATATGCCGGTCTCCTTCTCCTTTGGCATACCGCTTTTGCTTCCTCCCTGCTCACCCTAGGAATGAGGCTCCCGGGCAAAAATGCAACACACCTCAAGAATGAGTGCCGTTCTAGTTGTATGTGGCACTCAGGGCCGTCTTAACAGCATGATGGGCCCCGGGCAAAGCAGTGTCCTGGGGCCCCTACAACAACTACAACTACTGTTAATTTTGGAAGTTTTCCGATTTTCCAAGGGTTAACATACACAGATGAAAATGGGGCCCATGGGCAAGTGCCCATCAGGCCTGTGCGTTAAGACGGCCCTCGTGGCACTTGTTGTGTGGTGGACTTCTCAGCTCTTGATTCCTCCAGCGCTTCCAAGACTATCGACTTGCACTCTGACGAGTAATTGTATTTCGTCCTAGTTTTCACTCCCCACCACTGAATATAACTCCATCACACTTTCTGTTGTCCCCAGGTGGTTTCCGGTTCCAACAGTGCAGGTGTGGTTCAGAAACAATGTGCACATCCATCCTTTACCTTGCGAATGCCATCTCAGTTCTGCTGTGGATCATCGTCTTATCTGTTATGATTTCAAAAAGTATGGATTCTGGAGTCCACAGTGTTTCATCTATATGCATGTTGGGAGGGCAGACATGGGTGGGCAAGACAGCAGAGGTGGGGAAAATTGCAATCTGGAGCATTTGAATATTATTTAATTATTTCATATCTTGTTTGTCAAAACAGGGTGGAAAAATTAAAGAGCACACTTTCCCCCCTCTATTTTAATTTAAAGTATTTTCTAGAGCAAAACCTACAATTTGGAGTAACAAACTCTAGTAGATGCAACAGTGATCAGACTTTGTGTTCCAGATTCAGAAATGGCCAAGGAGTTGCAACAGCTGCGTAGTACTCAAACCGCACTGAAAGTAAATGGTAAGGATTCAGCTTCAAACTGTAGGTTGTTCTGGTCTCGGTTCTGTCCTGAGAGCAAGCTTTTGAAGGCTGATACTCACCTGCAGGACCAATGATACTGTTTGCATGTGAGGGAAAGGCTTTTAATGACAGACTTAGGTTGCTAGCAGTTAATATCCTGGCATGTAGGGTGAAAATGGCTAAAGGAGAAGGGACAGATAGAGGTATTCCAAAAATGGAGTTGCTTCAGTTCCTCTCTCTTTGAAATCTCAGATTTTACTTCTACAGGAAGTAGAAGTAGAATTTTTTTTTCAGGAAAAAAATCTGACCATTCTTTATTCATTCACAAGTCAGTTGTGACTTATTCATTCATAAGTCAGTTCACAAGATCACCTCAGCCCCCCTCCCCTTGGTTTACCTGAGGCAGTCACTCTGAATATTTAGCCCATATGCTGTGGCCCTTTTTAATTGTTTTCATAGATGTCTAATTTATTATGTTTAAATTGGTTTTTTATGTGTTTTACTGTTGGTATGTTTTACATTGTAAGCCACCTAGGAAGGTCTTGGAAATTATAGGCGGCCTATAAATATATGTAAATAAATAAATAAATATTTAATCCCACCAGGGGCTGCCATGGCTGATTGTGTCTACCAAATCTGAATGGCTGAGGGTTACACAACTCAGAGTCCTAAAACAAGCCATGGGTTATGTGAGGCTTTTCTAATGCTCATGCCTGGGTTTACATGAGATGACAACCTATGACAGCCCAGGCACCATGCAAAAATTTTGCCCACCAGTGCCCACCAAAGCACAACAGCCACTGTGTGTAAATTAACCCATGGTGAGCTATTGTGCCAGGCAAACCAGGTCAGTGTTTTAATCCAAAATACAATATACAGTGGTACCGTATACTTTGAACTGAATTCATTTCAGGAGGCTATTTGAACTATAAATAGTTTGAAGTCTGAAGCAATTTTTCCCATTAGAAATAATGGAAAGTGAATTAATCCATTCCAGACCCTAAGCAAAAGCAAAAAAGCCCCAGCAAACTTAGCCTCCTGAAAGGAATTAAGTTCAAGGTTAATCCCCCTCAAAATACTCCCCCTCCCTTCGAACACACTCACTCACCCCAGTGCTGTTGTGGCTGCCTCAGTGTCCAGAATTGATTCAAGACAAATCTGTTCAAGTCAAGACGAGGTGAACTGGCACAAGATGAACTGATTCAGAACACCGAGGCTTTTTTTTCGACTTGGGCGCACAACCAATGACGTTTTGGCTGCAACCACGTTTTTTTCACTTTACTCACAGTTCGAACTTAGAAGCATCATTCAGACCGTGGAGCAATTTTATATTGACTCCAATGTTTGAACTCTGGATCATTCGAAGTTAGAGTCCTTCAAACTACAAGACACCACTTAGACTAACACTCTCCCAGTAATGAATGTATCCGTTTTTCTACATGAGGTATTTGTTACATTCTCTCAGTTCCCTACTCATAGTTGTTTATGGGTCTCTGAGATGATGTAATGACCTTCCAGTTTTGTTTGGTTTTGCTTTTTAAGCAGGAAACTTGTGCCATTTAGCTAGGCAAGAGCAAGAAGGCATAATTTCCTGTTGTGTATTGGTGGTATTCTGCTGTACTACAGCATCATCTAGAGGACACAAGGCAAAAAGCAGGAAAGGAAATGCTCCAGTGTAGTGCTCCAATCTTGATGAAGCCAAATGCACAGACATTCAGACTATGCAGAAGTGTTGCATTGTTAGCTATCACATGTTTTGATAGTGCTGGCAGGGCAGGGAGGGGCAAGTTAACTTCCATGCATTGAAAAAGGTCACATTACAAGCACAACTGAAGCCCCACAATGCTTTCTAAGCTGTTCCTTTCCAGACGCCTCTAGGGTCACATGCATGAGCGCCTGTTTCCATGTGCCCCTACCAAAACCATCAAGGGGCAGCTTGCTTGTGTGAAGCAGCCATCACTGGGCAAACATCACCTGCCTTTTGCAGGAGCCCATTTCACTGGAGCGTAGCGCTACTGATTGCACCCGGAAGCGCAAGCAGCCATGGAGGACACCATGCCTGTGTGAACGAGCTGGAATGGCTTGGGACTGAAATCACACCAGTTTTGCACTTCAGATCCCTACACTTTGTCCAGAGCCACAGCAAGCTTCTCACTGCCTGGGCCAAGGGCTGGCTTTCTGCAGTTGATTTGGTGTCGCTCCAGGGGAAATGTTATCTGACCCTGCTGAGAAACGCAGGAATAGCCATCCAGACACACCTTTTTTGATTCCTCAGTATAGGCTCCACATGGTGTTGTACATAAATGCCAGTAAGTCACCTTCAATGCTTCTATCACCTCACCCCAAAAGCAGCTCTGGATTGAGGAAGCAGTGGGAAGAGAGATGCTTAACCCTCTCCCTGCCCAGTCATTTTTCTCCTTCCACTCCTCCTGCCTAATGCTGCAATCCTGGGCTGTCTTAGCGTCCCACCTCTGAGATCCTGCAATCTTGGAGCTGGAATTGAGAGGGTCAAGCCCCCTCTTCACCCCCTTCATAGCTGGCAAAGAAACAGCCATGCTGACAGGCCACAAATGTGCTTTGGGGGGAGAAGGAGGGGTGTGCCTGGGGATAGGGAGGGCAGGAGGCTGCCTGCCACTGAGAGTTACACCAGCTCCTCCTGGTGCCTCAGCCTTCCCTTCCCTTCCCTTCCCTTCCCTTCCCTTCCCTTCCTTTCCCTTCAATTTCATCTAGAAGGCAACAAATGCCATGCCTCCCCTTCCCAGTGTTTTATGGAGATTCCATGCAAAGTCCCACTCAGGGCATAAATTGCATGTAAGCCTCTGTGGCCCTAAATCACTTCTCAGTGCCATGGGCTTGTAGGCAAGTTTCACAATCTAACCTTGTGTGGATACATTATTCCCTCCCTTTGCTCCTTTTTTAGGGGGCAGGAGAAAGGATCACTGGGGGTGAGATGTATGATTTTTAGGTGGCATCTAAATCTGGCTCTGGGAAAGAATTAGCTGACAATGCACTGCTGAGCCATCTGGCTGCCTTTCCTGGTAGGATTATCCTTGAGTCATCACTGGGTCAGACCCCTGGTCCCTCTGGTCCAATACTGTCCACACGGACTGGCAGCAGCGTTCCCCAGAGTTTCAGGCAAGCGGCTTTCTCCTAGCCTGCCTGGAATCACCAGGCATTGATCCACATGAAGCAGCTAAACTCTTGTCCTTCCTGCAGGCAGCTGCAGGCAACTTCTGTCTTCAAGCATGGCTCTGCTCTCCACTTGTGAGGATGTTTATTTCAGGAAGAGAGAGGCAGATGAAGCAACAATGCGTTGTTCAGCAATATAAATAAGGGCTGAATCACTGACCATTTGGCTTGTGGCGGCTGCTTAAAACTGCTGTGGGAAGGATGGGCTCCCTGCCCACTATTTTGCAAGCAACAGCAGAGGTTGTTTAGCATTTGGGAGTGGGAGAACTTCAACAATGTGGTGGTACTGCTTGAAGTTTGAATAAAACACATGGGAAATGTGTTTTATAGCTTGATGAAAATTGACAGATTTCCTTGGAAAATGTTCGGTCTAACTGACTTTGCTGAAGGCAACATATACACCAAAGGTTACCTTAAGGGTTGGTTTGAAATAACCATTTGGAAAAAGTCACTTGAGCTGGACTTCATCATACGTAATAATGAATAGAACACGAATGGATGAAACACTCCCAAACCACTCCCAGTTCTGCAAATAAGCCTGGTGCTTGGTAGGATTTGTGGATGAGCCAAGAAGGATCCTGACTTGGGCAGTTCTTGAAACTGGACCTTTCTGAAAATATCTGCCAGAATACCAGAGTTCCTTGGTACCCCACACTCAGTACCGCACGTGCAGCCAGTGGGACGCTGCTGTAGAAATTCCCAGAAGTAGCACGTTCTGCAGCCTGTTCAGACCAGGCCTGCACAACCTTGCCAGCCCTGATTCAAGATTGCCCCAAATCTACTGCCTTTTCAGAGAAGCACATCTCTTTAAGTCCCCACGGTGCCAAATTTTCCTCTTCACACAGTGTAATAGGGTGAACCCACCTTTCATCCCTGCACAGAAACAACATTGTCCCTATATGGTGGGAGCCAGCTCTTGATCCCTCAGAAAGCCAGTTCAATTCATGTGCATAGCCACCGCTGCTAACTCGGTGGCCTTTGGACGCAGTCCCCTTGGCTAACGGAATTCTATCTCTTCCAGGCTCTAACACAGAGAAGCGGCTGGAGGTGCTTCACTCCAAGCAGTCCATCCAAGGTACGCCTTTCCTTGGTTATCACCTGCTGCTTCCTTTTGCTTCCTGCCTCTCTGCTCAGCAATTGCTAAATGCATTTGCTTTCTTTCTCCCGGCCCTCATGAAGTACTGCTGGGTTGACCAACTTCTGTTCGGTTGATTGCATGCGAATAGTCAAAGATGACTGATGGGTAATAGAAATGTATTAAGAGACAGCGTGTAAATCCCTAACATGCATTCAATTAGGGGACAATCCTACACATGGTAAGAAAGGGAAAAAAAGCCTACAATTCCCCTGTAGGAATGCCGAGAGTTGGAGGACTTTTTCATGTCTAAACATGCGCAGTATCATACCCTTAAGGAAACATTTCTTTAACAGAAGCTAAGATTAACTTCAGTCATGTTTTTCCTTCATGGGGATTTGATTTGTAGGATGGCACCTGAGATCTGCCCCCTGCAAGAATGTGTGGGGCAGAGGAAAAAGGCGGCTGGACAGTTTGGATTCTTCGAATGGACAGAGGCATCTGAGATGTAGCTTTAGTGGTGTATTGTCTGCTGGAGGTGTCTGCTGGCTTCCACTTTGCTTTGTTCACATAACTGAAATAGAATAAATTTTAGAAAGATATCATCATTCCCAAGTGTTTTCTCAGACAAAGGACATGTAACCCTACAGTACGCACTCGCCTTGCACATTTTCTTGCTCAGGGAAGTCTGGTAAACATCAAAGTACTTTTTCTCCATGAGTACCACTGATCTCTGGCTTTTTTCCAGAGTTGAAGGTAAATGAAAGCCTGCAGAAGCTGGGGGCTGTTTACAGTACAGAGAAAAACAATGGTAAGTTCTCCTTGTGGGTAGGTAGACAATGGCTTGATTTCTAGTGGGAAGAGGCAGAGCAAAGGAGCCAGATCTGCTGGCAGGATGCTTGGGAGCAGCATTTCTTAGAGGGTTTGGATCTCCCCAGAGTCAATGTTGATGCATTCCTTAAAATATCTAGGCAGATTCCCAATACTTTTCAACTATCCTTGTTCCTGGAGAAGTGCTTTGGCAATGTTTCCTTTTGAGAAGCTCTCATGCCTTATTGGTTTTGCAAGATTTGATTTCTCTTGCTCAGCTCTCCGCATATGGCCTGCAGACCCCTTGGTGAGCAAGGGCTTTTGCCAAAGATGAAGGCTCAGCCTCTGGAGGCAGGACTGTTTTGCTAGGTCACCTTCAGCAGGACAGGCATGTTGTGGCCATTGGTATATTTTCCCAGCCAAAGGGGAGAATAGACTATGGTGCTTCCTTTGAGAGAATATGGCTTAAGCCTTTCATTGATCAGGAACCTGCCTTTCACTAAATCAACTTATTGCACTTATAACACAATCCTACACAATCAGAAGTAAACCGTATTTAGATAAATGGGACTTATTCTTAGATAGGTATGTATAGGATAGCAGTCTTAGAATGTTTGGATATTATTACAACATCAAAATAGATGATTTTTTGAGATGGTGAAGGAAGTGTAGGATAGCTTCTAACTTAATATACATTAGCATTCATTGTTAAAAACAATGGCCAACTTGTATGAGTTTCAGGGACCCAGGAAAGCCAGTTCAAGACAATGCTGGAGTTTATTAAAATGATTCTAGGGAAGTCTACCAGAATCTTTTAAGCAGGAAAGCAGGGCTACTCTGAAGAGAAAGAGAAGTGGGACAGGGAGGCCATTATGTTTCTTAAAAAAGAGGACTTGCATAAATTTGCATGAATAGATGCCAGTTCAGCAATAATTCAGGCAGAAATACATCTTGCCATGTGGGGGAGATGACTCATGTGCTTACCTTCTTAGGGTTCTCTCTCTTTAAGCTGGCCTTGGACTGAACAGTCTTTTACATAGAGGACCGGCCTCTGTAAAGTAGGAGATATGGCCCCTCTAACAGGGCAGGCATTTGATGCTGACTCAGGCCAGCTCTGAAACTTCTCCAGATTCTGGTAGTTACGTAGAACTATGGGAAAAGCATGTAGTGTGAAGTTCTAAATTTCAGAACACACCTTTCATACTTCTAAATTTTTCATTGTGTTGTCATACCAGAATCAAAATTAGCCTCCAAAAATAAACAAACATGTCCTTAATTTATTACCCCACTAATTAAAACTGGCATATATGGAATATCACCTCCCCCTGCTCCAAAGAATGGAAAATGACCTGTTCATTTCTTCCCAAGGGGATGCAGCATCAGAATCCAGGTGGCTGCTCACCTGGTGGAAGGGAAGCATCTTTATCCATACATCACCCCCCCCCCCCCACATCAACATCTAGATCATGGCAGAAAGGAGGACTCCAGCTTACCATGACACTTTTTTGGGTGTGTGTTTTTTCCCCCTTGGGGGCAGTGAGGCACCCCATCCTGTGAGCTTCCTCCTGCAGGATGAAGGGGTGCAGCCCCAGAGCAGGTTCACCACCTCATTGAGAATTAAATCTTAGCAAATCAATTTATCATTTACATGGAGAAATATTTAATTAGGTTTTCTACACTTTTGCTTGGGAGTCTCTGCATGCTAATTGTGTCCGTCCAAGTTCTCTTTTCACTAAACATTTCTCCCTCCATTTATATTCTCAGTGAACAAAATTATGGGTGAAATGCAAGCTGACCAAAGAAAAATCTGGGCAGAAACCTTTAAGCTACAGAATGGATTATATAAAATTAATGGTAAGATACAAGGCCTCCTCTGCTCCTGGACTCATAGCATTGCATTTGGTTAGAGATGAAGCTTGCTCGCCTGTAAAAGGCTCCTCTGCCACAGAAGCTGCAGACATAAGCCGGAAGGATCACATTGGCTCTTGAGCCAATTTGGTAGGGCAGCAACTAGTGATGGGCCAACTGACCCCACTGCAGCCTGGAACTGGGAAGCTGGTTTGTGAGTTCAGCAAAATCAGCTTGGAGCTTCTCTACGTGAGGGTTTAACTTGCTGCCGTGTGAAGGGTTCTTTTTTTTGTTTTTCTTGCTGGAGGAAATGTACTTCCTTTACATGCCCCCCCCAGGGTTTGTATTTTGTTGCTTTTCTATATATTCTGCTGACCAACCACAAGGTGCTGCAGTGGTACAGTTGCAGTATAACAGAATTTCGACTTTACCCAGGCTTTTGCCCCACTTTGAACTTTAATAGCTGACTTTCCTGGCAATAAAAAGAGCCAGTTTTCCTGCCTGGAAAACCCAGGAGAGGCCCTAGAAGACGAGGAAAAGGCCTCATAAACTTCCAGATGGTTACATTGGTTGCTGTCTTTGGCAAAAAGTAACCGAAGAGTGAAAGTGAAATTATTTCCAGCATGCAGTGCTAACAGACTAATCAGTTTCCTTGGATATCTAAAGCCGTTTCCCTGAACTATGCCAGGAAGACTAGTAGCCACGGATAGTTTCCTCCCTCATGAATCTGTCCAATCCCCTTTAAACACCATCCAGATTGACAGCCATCACCACTTCCTGTGGCAGTGAATTCCACAGTTTAACTATGCTGTGTGAAGAAGCACTTCCTTTTATCCGTCTGAAACCTCTCACCAATCAGCTTCATGGGATGACCCTGGGTTCAAGTGTTATGGGAGAGGGGGAAAATTCTCTCTCTACTTTCTCCACACCATGAAATGGCCATTTCAATACAGCCTGGATTTGCCATGTGGATCAAGTAAGCTTCACAGCTTTGCTGTTCATGACAATATACTGTCCTAAGCCCTGCCCATTATTAACTGGCTGCTTTGAAATGTCTGCAATTCCTTCATAGCCTCAGCCTGCCAAATGTGTCCTGAGGGCTGGATGCTGAACCGAGGACAATGCTACTCTTTTCAGATAACAAGCAAGCACTGGTCTTTTGCCAGGACCTCCTGTGAGGCTCAAGGTGCCCAGCTGGTTGTCATTGACAATTCCGAGGAGCAGGTAATTCAAGGCTTTTGCGCAAGGTGAACCTCTGCTTTTACTTCCCAGCACAGCCCACACATTTTTGTGATTCTGTGGCTGGGCCATTACAGTTCTCAAGCACTCCAAAGAAATGTGGCATTTCTCCCAGAGGGTGTTATGATTGCTGTGTAGAACATCAGTGAGTATCACGGCCACCCCTTGGATACCGATTGTGATGTCAACTCTATTTTTCTTCAGTGTTGACTTGTTCCCAGCACTTTCCTAGATATGAGCAAAAGGCATCTGGCAAGGACAGTGAGGGTGAGAGAGAGGGTGAGAGAGCCAGTGTGGTGCAGTGGGTAAGAGCCTGGGACTGGGACTCAGACGATCCGGGTTCTAGTCCCCACCCAGCCATGGAGCCAACTGGGTGACTTTGGGCCAGTCACAGACTCTCAGCCCAACCTTCCTCACAGGGTTGTTGTTGTGGGGATAAGATGGTGGAGGAGAGATGATGTAAGCTGCCTTGAGCCCTTTGGAGGAAAAAGGCAGGATATAAATCGGAAATTAAATAAATAAATAGCTACTATTTTTCAAGGTTCCTCCTTGGACTAGCAGTGCGAAGGTACCTGCACCCTCCAAAGTGCCCTGTTGGAGCTGGCCAGACCTTCAAGGATCAGGGGAAGAGACTGGGCTGGGGACAGGTGTCATGTATCTTTTACCTATGATCATCAGAGATGCCAGCATGTTCGGGATGGTAAAGCAAATGTGTTACACAAAGCCATACTTGCTTCTCTGACATGAGGATTCTTGCATAGCATCTAAGAGGCCATGCTGCCATTCCGTATAGGCCTTTCAGATTGTACCTCTCAGCTCAAATAATTAAATGTGGTTTGCATTTCAGGCATTTCTTACCTCGAACACCAAAAAGAAGAACTACTGGATTGGTCTCAATGACATTCAGACGGAAAACACATTTGTCTGGGTAGATGGACGTACACTGTCATATAAGTAAGTCTAGTAATATGGATTTGTTTATCCACACCATTTTACAAATACTTGGGGCGCTCCCAGGTGGGATTTTTATGTCAATGTCCTGCCTTATATTTGGATTTTATTGGAGGGGTAGGAGAAGAGGTCGCCATCTTCTACTTGTAGTCTCCCATGTTTTCCCACTGCTCCCTCTTTTTCTCTTACCACGAAAAAGCAGCCCAGGAGAGAAAGGCAGAATAGCTGCACAACTTCTTTTGATCAGTAGCTCCCAGAGCCCTCCATCTGGAAGCACCTCCTGGCAAATGACTAACATCATCCTTAAACTGAGAATCTATTTTGTTGCACGATGGGTCAAATTTCAGATTCAAAAAACTAAAGACTGTCAAGAATGGGGAAAAACACCCAAAGAGAGTCTATTGGGAGCATTCAATCAAAAGAACATTTACTGTTTATTCAGACATACAGGAAATACATGTGGAATGTAGGAAGTCCCCCCCCCCCGCCCACCCTGCAGGGACTACAAAGATGGAGTCTGCACAAAAAGCTTTTATAACCTTTCAGTTACATACACAGTTTGGAGGAGGGGTGGGGGATCCAGTGGGGAATCACTTAGGCAGTTTGCTAGAAATACATTAGGGTAAAACAAAATGGGATTAAGACAACACAATACAGAAAGAACCTCCAGGACAGGTAAACCATTAGCACACCTAAGAGTGTACCTGGGAAACAAGACTTGCAACATGGTTACTTCATCTGATCAGGAATCCCACCTTAATTTAAAAGCAGTTCTTACAGTGTCAGGCTTCCAGCAGCCATATTATGGCAGAGCTTTCACTCACTTTGTCCTGACAAGACCAAGGGACCTGAAATGAGATGAGCCAGTGTTGCCCCTATTTCAAATGATGAGACATTTCTGGCTTTCTAGTGCTTACCTAGGATTCAGTTTTCTTAGGAGGAGGCCACTGGAGGCTGAATGACATTTATTATTATTATTATTATTATTATTATTATTATTATTATTATTATTATTACATTTCTATGCCGCCCCTTGCCGAAGCCTCGGGGCGGCTTACAACACAATAAAATACATTGAAATACAATAGAACATAATAAATTACCATTAAATACAAAAATACAAAAAATACATTGAGTTACAAACATAATAATATAAAATTAAAATTATCAGTATAAAATAAGTAAATAAATAATATAGGAGGAGAAAAGAGAAGGAAGAAGAAGTTGCCCTGGCCAGATCATATATTTTAACAATTAAAATGATGTTTAAATAAAAAGGTCTTTACCTGGCACTGAAAAACCAGTAATGACGGTGCCAGGCGGACCTCTTTGGGGAGTGAATTCCATAGGTTGGGCGCCACCGCAGAGAAAGCCCTCCTCCGAGTACTTACTCTCCTAATTTCTTTCATGAAGGGTTCCCGGAGAAGGGACTCTCCCGCAGATCTCAAAGGGCGGTCGGGCATATACGGACGTAAGCGCTCGTTCAGGTAGCCAGGACCCAAGCCGTTTAGGGCTTTATAGGTCATAATCAACACCTTGAATTGGGCCCGGGCTTCAATGGGCAGCCAGTGAAGCTGACGGAGGACTGGAGTCATGTGAGCATAACTCCCCGTCCCCGTCAGCAACCTGGCAGCTCTATTTTGCACCCATTGAAGTGTTCGGACCGTCTTCAGGGGAAGCCCCACGTAAAACACGTTACAGAAGTCTAGGCGGGAAGTCACCAGTGCGTGTGTCACCGTCGCCAGGCAGTCGAACTCCAGGTAGGGGCGCAGCTGATTAATCAGCCGAAGCTGAAGGAAGGCGCTCCTCGCCACCGCTGTCACCTGAGCTTCCAAAGAAAGCTCCGGGTCGAGGAGTACTCCTAAGCTGCGGACCTTATCCCTAAGAGGGAGTGTTGCACCATTCAGGACCAGGTCAAATACACCCTCTCCGAAGCCCAATCCGCCAACCAACAGGACCTCCGTCTTGTCTGGGTTGAGCTTCAGTTTATTGGCCCTCATCCATTCCATTACCTCGGCCAAGCACCGGTTCAGCACAGCCACTGCCTCACCTGGATTAGTGGAAAACGAGAGGTAGAGCTGGGTATCATCAGCATATTGATGATTCCGCAGCCCACACCTCCTGATGACCTCTCCCAGCGGTTTCATATAGATGTTAAATAGCAGAGGGGATAGAATGGAGCCCTGTGGTACTCCATGGCATAGCTGCCATGACGCAGAGACATGGTCCCCCAGCACTACCTTCTGGAATCGACCGTTGAGATAGGAGTGGAACCATTGCAAAGCAGTGCCTCCAACCCCCAATCCCGCTAGCCTATCCAGGAGGATACCATGGTTGATGGTATCGAAAGCCGCCGAGAGGTCCAGAAGAACCAACAGGGATGCACTCCCCCTGTCCTTCTCCCTGCACAGGTCATCGTACAGGGCGACCAAGGCAGATTCAGTACTGTACCCGGGTCTGAAGCCGGACTGAAAAGGATCCAGATAATCAGTTTCATCCAAGAGTGCTTGGAGTTGTCCTGCCACCACTCGCTCCAGCACCTTGCCCAGAAACGGGATGTTGGCCACAGGTCTATAGTTAGTGGCCATCTCTGGATCCAGTGACGCTTTCTTCAGGACTGGTCGTATTACCGCCTCCTTTAAAGGGGCAGGCACTCGACCCTCCCTCAGAGAAGCGTTAACCACTTCGAAGATCCAGGTCCCAATCCCATGCTTGGAGTTATTTATTAACCAAGACGGGCAAGGATCCAATAGGCAAGTGGTGGGACGTACTCGTCCAAGTACCTTGTCCACATCATCGTGCCGCAATAATTGAAATTCCTCCAACAATTTTGGACCAGACGGTAGCATTGGCGTCTCCCCAGAGACCTCTGATTCATTAGTGGAGTCCAGCTCGAGACGAATCTGAGCGATTTTCTCCCTGAAATGCCTGGCAAAGTCGTCACAGCGGGCCTTTGAGGGTGGCATCGGATCTTCCTTAGGACCCGGGCGAACCAGGCCTTGTACCACTCAAAAAAGCTCCGCCGGACGGCATTGTGAGGAGGCAATGGAAGCGGAAACAAATTTCTTTTTCGCCGCCTTCACCGCCACAGCATAGGCCCGATAGTGGGCTCTCAAGTGTGTTCGGTCAGATTCATCCCGTGATTTCCTCCACCTACGCTCCAGTTGTCTCCCAACCTGCTTCATCGCCTGTAATTCAGGTGTATACCAAGGGGAAGAGCGGACTCTGCTCGGTGGGAGAGGACGCTTGGGAGCGATCGTGTCCACAGCCCTGGTCATCTCTCCGTTCCACAGTTCGACCAGAGCCTCGACAGGAGCACCAGTCTTGTCAGCTGGAAACTCCCCCAGGGCCTTCAGGAATCCATCTGAATCCATCCGGCTCTGGGGGCAGGCCCATACAATCGGGTCCGCACTCTTATAGAGGGAGAGGCTGGTCTCGAGCACAAACCTCACCAGGAGGTGATCTGACCATGACAGTGGATTGAAGCACACCTATATACCATGCACATAAGATAGAGGGGCACAGTGTCAACATGCCAACAGATTTCTGTTCCGCATTTCCATTGTTACCAGCTCAGCTTGCGGCATACACAGTCCTCACTCGCCCTCTTTCCTTGTCTAGTGGTGGTGGAGGAAAAGTGAGGAGTGATCTTTGCATCACTTGCCTTCTTAGGCCCATCCATCCGAAACACATCACACAAATATTCCCAGCTATCAGCTGCCTCTTACCTACAGAAGTCTTAAGAGCCACATTACAGATATACAATCACAGGATGTGTAACTGAGCCCTGCTGGCTTGGCTTGACTTATTTGTTGCAATTGTGTGAAGATGCATGGCACTGATGCAGGTGAGTATTGCCACACTTTGGAAGGCAAGGATTGGATTTTCCCCTACCCTTGTTTTTATCTTGATTCGTTTTTAAGTCACTGAAGACTCCCCACCCATCTTAAATCAGCCCTACCAGCTAGGAGGGATGCTGGAGAAAAACTGTGGTGAGAGAAGTTTAAGTCCCAGCCGGAATTTAAGATAAAATCCTGAAGTGCAGCATCTCATTTCTTCTCTTCATTAATCCTGCTAGGCACTATCATTCACTGCGGGGCACAGAGGCGTGTTTGGCTAGGGCCTCAGTTGTGAGCAAAGCTACCGCGTGGGGATGGGCGGGTCCTGCCATTCATTCATTCATTCATTCATTCTGTGATGTTTCCAATTGCAGCCACTGGTATCCATGGGAGCCCAACAATGCTGGCAAAGGGGAGGACTGTGTCATAATGAACTCTTTGGGCTGGTGGGAAGATCGTGAGTGTGGCGGCACCACAGATGGCTGGATCTGCGAAAAGAGCTGGAACTGCTAGCTATGTCCAAGCAGGAGCAGAACGCAAGCCCTGCACAGTGTGATCTCTGCGGCGCTGCAACTCTGTTGTGTCTCTGTAACCAACAGCTCCCAGCAGAGGCGGCTTTAACCCTTCTGGGTGCCCCCCTCTCAGAAAGGCGGCTGATGATGCAGGGCCATCAGTAAGTCAGCCGAAAGCTAGGACTCAAGCTGTGATTTGTTAGCCTTCCTCCATAGCTTTGCTAGGCTTCACCGTAATTCCAGAGCTGTGCATAACATCTAGAAGTCTTGGCTTCAGTTTCAGTCTGTACTTTATTTACATGTTAGGTTAACCTTGTTCTTACATTCACAACCTAATCACTCATTCACTAAAATGCCAACTAAACAGACTCGTTTTTCACAGCCTGTGGAATGGAGAAGACGATGTGAGAGGCGTGGGTGGCTGATTATTGGGACAGGCCTTGATAGCAACATGCTTCTCCCAAGGAGGGTCACCTGGCACCTGTGTTATAGTTATTTAGAGCACCAGGAAAAGATCCCCTCCAAAACAGTGTAATCTAAATAAATGTGTTTCATCTCCATCACGCTCCTGTGCAGCTCTTTTAAGATTTTGAATCCTACCACTTTTAGCCTTAGTGTCTGATACCTTTAATTGCTTTATGCTGTATCTTTGATTTTGTATTGTAAAAGTTACCTTGGGAATTTGTTTGAAAGATGAGATATAAAGTTTGAAAATATGTCTCTTAAGATAAGGCAGAAATCTAGCTATAGGTGGGATCCAACTTTGGAAATCAGCAGCCAAACCCCTCTAAAGGCCAGAGGTCTTAATTTTTCCATAGGGAGAAATACGATTACTCATAATATGATAAAAGAGAGCTCAGATCGGCATAAAATGTGTATGTTTTGATTTAAATAAATACACGAGCATTGAGAAATTGTTTCTGCCATTTAAAGAGAAATACAATATGTGTTGCCACAAGAAGATAACTTCCATGCTGGCTGTTGTCTGGGTGCTCACTATGGATGGACAACATCAGAAAGGACGCTGGCTCTCTGGTCAGTGGGACTTCTTATACTGCAGCTTTTAAAGGTGGTGAACCTGTTTTGAGGCTGGACTTCAGCAGCATGGACAGCTCCCATAATGCTCAGTATAAGCAGAAGTGAATAAGGAGCTGGACTGATATAGGCATCACCAGCCCCCACTGGAGAAGGTCAAAGCCCAGCTTGCCACTCTCCATTCCAGTGATCCATGACCTTTAAGCCAGCTTTCTGTAGGGTAGCCCTTTAAAAAGGGGCTACCCTCAAATATAGGGCTGTCCTCTATAAAGTAGGACACACGGCCACCCTACCCTTGAGTGGAAGAAAGGCACGGCAGACTTGCATTAAGTAAACAAAATGCTGAGGAGGAACAATAGGGTCTTAGAGATGTCCACTGTGTGCTGAAGGGGTAAGGACATTTCAGCGTCATTTTGAAAAGGAAACTGACAAGCAGCTTGCCTCTCTAGCGAGTCTGAAGTGGGACCTTTCAAAAAGCCATAAGGAACAGAGCCAAGAAGAATCTGGAGAGGAGACTGTGAAGCCTCTGGGAGAGCACTCCCTGTTTGAGAAGCAAGAAAGAGGCGTGAGGAATGGAATCAAGTGGAGAAACTGAGGTTCCAAATGGAGAGCAAAGTGGTTGGGCAATGAGATGTTTCAAGCATCTCAACAGGTAACCACAACCAGGTAAGAGAAGCTGGTGGCCCACAAAGAACAAACAAACTGGAAGAGCAGCCCTCATTGTTACATTACAGTTGAAGAAACAATGAGGAACAGTGAGGGAGGTGGAACACTATCTGTGTCCCGTTCATGGATGGCAATTAGGGGTTCAGCTAAAGGATGGATATTATGGGTATGTCCATCTTTGCTGTAGCAAACTGCAGAGCTTGCCCTTCAGTGAGCTAGGAGGGCCTGCCTCACGACATGTAGTAGCAATCTCTGAATAAGATGCACAGGGAGCTCTTCAAAACGTTGGGCAGACTCTAATGGGCACTTTGGAAAGTTTCAAACAAGGTGCTAGGAGTGTTGTGCCGCTTTGTGGATCATTCGCTTGTTATGAAGTCCCTTGAGCAGGAATCGCTGGTGTGCAAGATGCTTCATTGCAACTGTAGCCAAACACACATTCCCAGCAGGCAAAATCTCACAAGCCATGTTGGTCCCACCACAATGAGCTCATCTAACATTGATGGGGTGAGTAAAGCAGAGAAGGGGCAGCTGCCCAGCATGCAATTCGAATGTCTCACATAGAAGGACCTATTAAAGTTCCTCAACAGAAGATGAACAACTTGCCCACTCGGCCAGTAGCCACCACCCACGAAACACAACCCCTGGCAGATAGCAAGGGTGTGAAAGTTGAAGATGCCAACTGTCTGGCACCGGGGTGCAGAACCTCATGCCTGGGGACCAAATCTGAATCCATCTGGCTCAAAAGCTGGCCCTCCAGGCAGCCCTGCCTCTTCCTCTGGCCCACCGCCTGTGCCCAAGCCAGCGATCACTTCATGGTTTCCCAGCTTCAGTGCAGGGCTTCCCCCATGCTAAAAGGTTGGCATGGTCCCCTGTAGGGTGCAGAACTGGCAGAGAGCTTTAAGCTGAACACGCTGGTAGGTTTGGCGGTTTGGCCCCATCCCTTCCAGCACTGACGCCTCCCTTTTCTCCTTCGGCCATGCCCATGACTGGAGTTCAGCCCCTGAGCCGGAAGAGAATTCAGCCTCGGGCTGAAAGAAGCTCTGCACTCTTGGTCTAGCCTTTACAACCCAACAGAGTTTAACACTTTAAAAATATACAGCATAGAGTTATCTACTGAGCAATTTAAAATGTACATGAATTTATAGCCAATGATATATACAAATGAGCAATTGCCATTTCCTTTTCTCCCACCTGCACTACCACCAACCTTCTTTCCCCTTGCAAGGTGAGTTAAAGGTAGCGCCAAAAAAGTGTGTGTCTGTGTGCATGTGTGTTTGGGTGGGTTTCTTCCCAAGAAGCCCTTCAAGATCTTTCATACTGGGGGGAACAAGTGCTGCCTTTTTGGTTATATCCAGACATACACCTGTGCTCTTTTATGAATAACTGGAAGAAGAGACACAACACCACATCACACCCCATGATTTCTCTGTTTGGCACACTATAGTGCAAGAAGCTTGACTGTGTGGGCTTGGATCGCCACCGCTATGCATTCAGTAGCCATAATGCCCCTGTCTGAAAGTTGCGGATTCTATTCCCAGTGGGAGGGGTGTGTCCAGGGTACTCTTTATCCCGCACATCTGTTGAGCCCTGACTGCTCGTTCAGGCTCCGCTCATCGAACGCGATGCAGTGTGAGCAGGGAAAGTGGCTTCACCCCATTAGTCTATCAGGAGTGAAGGGCTGGCTGCCCTGCCGGTGGAGGTGGAGGTACAGGCAAAGGTGATGGGGCGGCCCCCACAACCCCATCGCCTCTGGCTCTCTGCATGCGTAGCCCTAGAGCGGGGCAAAGCAAGCCGTGGCACTGCCTGCAACAGACGTGGGAGAATGAAGGAAACAACGTCCAGTTCAAAAAGTAACCTGCTGGCACTGAGAGTCAGCCACAAGGACCTGTGGGAGCGTTGGCTGGATAGGGTGGCTCTGCTAGGTAAAATGAGAGGCATTCTAGGACATGAATGGCTCACAGTAGTTGCTTGAATGAGGCAATTTATTTGTGGCCTGTCACACTGATCGGTTTTATATGCTGCCTTAGGTGCGTGCACATCGAAGGGGTGCATAAGAGTGCTTTACATTTGGGGCTGGTCGATGCTGTGCGGTCCACCTAAGTCCTCTCCAGCATCACACTGCGTGAATTCCCTGCATGGTACTGTGCCTGAAGGACGGACGGGTGCCCTGGGCGAGGTGGAGGGGAGTCCTCAAAGGTCCAGTCACGAGCACCTCTCCTGCATGCTGTTTTGGTAGTATGAGGAAAGCATGGGGAGGGACAGCTTCGGTACCAATCTAATTTTCTTTCCAGTTGTGGCCATGTGGTAATTTGAGACTTTGAGCTTAATGGTCTTCCAGGGGTGGCTGTCTTTATATGGTAACAATGTTTATGTCTGTGGGAAGGAGTTGCCCTGTCAAAAAGTTTGTTTTAAAGGGTTATCTGATTTTTGACAAAAATTCCATGCTCCTGTAAAAGGGGTGGCTTGCACACTGTCACCCTCCCAGACACTTAGAGTCTTGGGATAAGGTGGAAAAGATGCAGGACACTGAGAAGTCAGGACCAGCCCCGGCCCTGCCCCTCCCCACAAAAGTACAGGATCTTAGCACAAAGTGGGTGAGCCATACCTTCTTGCAAGCAAAGATCACTTGAGCCTTTGCTTTCTCTTGAGAGCTCAACTTTTGACAGCTGTCAGGGAAAAGCAAGTAAACAGTAATCCAAACTAAATTTTGGAACATGCTCCCCAGGGGGGTTTGCCTGGTGCTGTTGCTTTATTCTTTTTGGCATCAGGCAAAAATCTTTTTATATTTCCAATGTTTTAACATTTAATTGGTTTTATCTTTGTTTTTATCATCAATGGTTGAATGCAGTGTGTTGCTGGTTGGTATGTTATGGTTGTTTTTGTAAGCTGTCCAGAGACTCTGGTATTGGACAGCATATAAAAACAAACAAACAATCCTCTTTGCAGCCTCTCTGGGCCAATGTCTGTGGTAGGCGCCTGTGGCATTTTTGACAGCAAACATCTGCCAAGGCACCACCCTGGTTAGGCTTCTCATTTCGGCCCACCAAAAGAGCACAAGTACATACTTGGACAAGCCCAATTACAAACAGGATTTATTTATGAAAACATTTGCACACTTTTGGGACACCAAAAAAAGGTGGCAAACCATTGAATCTTCCAGTCCATCTCTTAAAGAGCCCTTACCCTTGCTGGCCATTTCAGAAGCCTGCCTTGGATCAACTGTAGCTTTTAAAAAGGTCAGCCTTCTTCAGTTAGGCCTCTTCTTACCCCCTTCTTTCCATAGTGAACCTCACTTTGTAGTAGCTTTTAGCAACTGATTAAGAAGGCAAGTGGCTGGAGAGCAGCGCTTGTGAAAGGGATCTCAGGGTACTTGCACACAGCAGGCTGAACATGAGCCAGCAGTGTGACACGGCGGTTAAGAAGGCAAATGCCAGCCTTGGATGGATAGGCAGAAGTGTGGCTTCCAGATCGAGAGAGGTGCTGGTGCCATGCTATAAGACTCTGGTGCACCCACAACTGGAGCACTGTTCTGGGCTCAACATTACAAGAGGGCCATAGCAAGGATGGAATCAGTTCAGTGCAGGATGGTAGCTGGATTCCGGGGGATGCCATGTGAGATGAGATTGAGAGAACTAGGACTTTTCAGTCTGGAGAAGAGGAGACTCTGAGAGGATCTTTTTAGCAACAAAGAGGTATGTGAGCGGATGTCACGTGGAGGAGGGCCATGGCCTGTTCTTCCCTGCAGTGGAGGGCTGGGTGTGTTCCAATGGGGCAAAGCTAAACAAACCAGGCCTCAGGTTGGATGTCAGGATGTACTTCCTGATGGTTAGGTCCCCTAGGATATGGAATGGGCTTCCACAGGAGGTGGTGGAGGCCCCATCAGTGAGGGCGTTCAAGGAAGGATTGGACACCCACATGTTGGACATTATGTGAGTGCAGCTGGCTTGTGCCAGGGGTCTGTCGTGTGCGCGCGCACTCTGGCGAGATTCCTAGGCGCACACAAGAAGCTGACTGTTTTGGGGGAACTGATAGCTCAGAGTCTGAGGCAGAACCAGATGAGGCTTGGAGTTCAAACGCTGATAACAGAATGGTTGTGGCAATGGGCAGGCCTGCACCTGCAGCCCCGGTCTCTCAGTACCAGTCTGAGCCTGCTCTGGAAGAAAGTAGTTCAAGGTCATCCACGGAGCCTGATCTCTCTGTCTGTGAGAATGAA